GTGCATCCCTTTGAGTATAGCGTGAGAACCCCCCGGGTGCTGCAGGAGAAGCATGCGCATCTTGGCACTGACTGCAGAGGCGCGTGCGCTCTAAGCGATCTCGTGGCACATTGCTGATGCAGTCGTATGCAAAAGTCCAGGGTGGATTGTAGCCTGGCGCTAGCCTCCCTGGGGAATTGTGGTCCCCGTGGAGAGGAAGAGCAGGGGGGACAGCAAACCCCAGGCAATAAAAAAGGAGGCTGCAGTTGGAGCTGCACAGAGCTCCGCACCTTGCACAGAATCCACATGTGGTACAGAGGGATTCCCTGACCTGATGCTCCAGAGAACATGTTGCCTCCTGCCCATGAGAGCTAGACGGGGGCCCTGGAGCAGGTGGCCAAATTAAAATGGTTCTCCCTCCCCGAATCTTGCTGCAGGATTTCCACTCCCTGGTGCCTTGCTGGTGCCTTGCCTCTTCTTTAACAGGTTTAATGCAGGGAGCTGTGATAAAGCTCTGAGGTACAGCTGGAGTTGGGGAAGCTCTAGGACAGGGGGCTAGTGTTTTCCAGTCCTGCCAGATACCAGTTTCCCTGGCTGCCCCTGAGAGCTGTTCCTTGCCTTCCCCTGCAGGCTTATTGCCGCCGGCGTGGTCATGCGCCCGTATGTGGAGGCCAATATCTCCCACAAGTCCCATACCACCATCAAGTACTTCCTGAAGATGTGGAGCAGTGTCAGTGAGACGCTCATCTTCATCTTCCTCGGCGTCTCCACTGTGGCTGGCAAGCACTACTGGAACTGGACCTTTGTCATCAGCACCCTGCTCTTCTGCCTCATTGCCAGGGTGTTAGGTGAGGGTCTGGTTGAACAAGGGGCTGGGAGCAGCCCTGGTCTTGGCTTCTGGATGGTCTGAGATGCATTCACACCCGAAGGCCTGGGTCCAGCCTGCCTGGGGTCATGGACCTGAGTGGGTTTGGGAGCTCCAGGTGGAGTGCTGGTTTTACAGACAGCATGGGGCAGGGACAGGTATCTCCGGTTCGGCCCCAGAACACAGAGACTTTTTGCAGCTCCCTTGGATCTGGGGCCTGGCTGTGAGAAACAGCTCCGCTTGTGTGCAGCCAGTGTCTCTTTGACAGACTAGGGAGAACTGACCCATGCTTTTGGTGCCTGTATCCTTGGGACCTCCCTGGCTGGCTTCTCAGGAGCCTGCGTGTAGCCTTCTGGTAGGGACAGAGTCCAGTGCTAGACCAACAAGAAGTTTCCCTGTAGGCTCCGCTCTGTGATCAGTCCTCTGTGTTGTGAGGGAGGCCTGGGGCTGGGGTCGTGGAGGTGAGAGGGGGCTGTAAGTTGTGTGGGGAGGCAGAATTCAATGGTGGACAGAGGAGCCCACGGCGCCTAGCGTTAACCATCTGCTTTGCCCCTGGAAGTCTCTTCATTCTACTCCTCCATGGGTGCAGTCCCTGTGGAAAGAGCCAGTGCTGCTGGGGACTGATGGAGCAGTGTAGCTGGGTGTCTAGAAGGAGCTGCCCTCATCCCTGGGGCCTCAGGGTGTGTCTCTCTAAAGCCAGGCCTGTATAACCTGGAGCCACCCTGCCCTGTCCCCCCAACCTCTCTGCAGGTGTCTTGGGCCTCACCTGGTTCATTAACAAGTTCCGCATTGTGAAGCTGACCCCCAAGGACCAGTTCATCATCGCCTACGGGGGCCTGAGAGGGGCCATCGCCTTCTCGCTCTGCTACCTCCTGGATTACTCGCACTTCAACATGAGGGACATGTTCCTCACAGCCATCATCACTGTCATCTTCTTCACTGTCTTCGTGCAGGTAGGCAGCACTCCACCTTTCCCCCTGGGCCTGTAACCAGGTGCCCAGGTGTCAAGGTGAAGGATGTGGATCTGCTTCCTGCAGCTCCTGACTGCAGCCAACTGAGCGAGAGTTGAGTAGGGGCATGGCCGTTGTTAACAAGCTCGTTTGGGGGGTGGGAGAGTATGCGGGGTGTTTACAAGGCTGGTCCCACGGGGAGTACACTGGCGTGGCAGTCAGAGGTCCCTGTCCTAGCTGGCCTGCCCTTCCAAGGGGGAGAGTGACACCTCTCTCTGGAGTTGCTAGTGACAAAGAGCTCTGCAGCTCTGCTGGCTCTGATCAGGGAGGTCCAGAACAGCTCCAGCTACCTGCTGCCATTGCTTTAATGTGTCTGGAAAGAAAAGGTCCCCAGATAGGATGAGGGGACAGTCCTTGGACTCTTGTGGCACAGGGGGCAATGGGCTTCTCAGTGCTGGAGACTCTCCTAGGCCATAGGTGTGGCAGGAAAACTAGGGAGTCTTCATGACGTCCCTGAGGCACCTGCTCCTTGTTGTCCTGTATGGGAACGTGGACCGGGCTGGCTGACTCCAGGAGGGCAAGATTTGCTCCAGCCTCAAGATGAGGCCAGCCCCAGAGGATGCCGGCTCCACTCTCCTTCCTGGCCTCTCAGAGGTGAGCAAAGGCTCTGAGCGAGGTGTGACCTGGCCCTCTTTTGCAGGGCATGACCATCCGCCCGCTGGTGGACCTGCTGGCCGTGAAGAAGAAGCAGGAGACAAAACGCTCCATCAACGAGGAGATCCACACCCAGGTAACTGCTCCCCACACACGGCACCTCTCCCTCAAGTTGCCCCACCTCAGACCTCTTTCTGCTTCCCCTCCCGCTGCAACCAGGCAGGGTCTCAGGAGGGGACGCCTGTGGGTTGGTCTCCAAGGTAAGGGCCACGGGTGAAGCACTGCCCCAGCCTGGCTCCTCTTTGTTGGTTCTCTAACCAGGATCTGCGGCCACCTGGCACAGGTCTGTGCTGCCACCCAGAGGCCCCGCCCAGAGCTGCACCCAGTGTCACCACACTGTCATCGAGGCCCATGCAGCCCCATGCGAACTCAATGTTGGGAGTAGTTTGGTGGGGAGAGGGGAAGCGTGTGGCCAAGGCCTGCTAGTGTCAGGCTAAAGAGGTGGTCACGTGCTTTGCCTTCTTTCCAGTTTCTGGACCACCTCCTGACTGGGATTGAGGATATCTGTGGTCACTACGGCCATCACCACTGGAAAGACAAGTGAGTACCATTCATTGTTCATGCTGGCAGAGTCTCCATTGGTCTCTGATGGCAAATCTAAGGGAGAAGGGAGGGATTTTAAATGCCACGTCCCATGTGGCATTTGCCACATGGGACATGGCACATGGGACGTGCACATGTCCCATGTGCAGTTGCTCGGGGATGTAGGGGGGTAGTTAGGAAGGC